AGCTAAGATCGAGAGCTAGTAGTAGGTAGCGCGCGAAAAGAAGATCGCGAAACGACTAAAGGTCGAGAATAAGTAGTAGGTAGTGCGAGAGAGGAAGGCAGCGAAGCGAGCTAAGATCGAGAGCTAGTAGTAGGTAGCGCGCGAGAAGAAGGCGGCGAAGCAACTAGTCGCTTAGCTATGCTTTTGCGCGCTAGTACGACGAAGAATAGGCGTAGCTAACGTTCCTTCTACTTATTAGTAGTATTTAATATAGGTTCGTAACGGCGTTTACTTAAGGACTATAGTTTATATATTAGACTTAGGAACGTAATAGTAGTAGGTATCGCACTAAGCCGTACTTACTCTAGCTTATCTCGTTTAATAGGTTCTAGTAGTATAGAGGAAGGATAATCGAAGGAAACTTAGTATATAACTATAGTTATTTCGCTATAGAGGAATAGGTCCTAGTCTTCTCGATCGATAGATATTCTATCGGAGATATTGCTTAAGTACTATAGCCGTATTATAAATAGCGTAGTAGTAACGGAGCCGACGCCGGCAGTCCGGAGACAATATTATTACTGCCGCTTGCGCCCTATATCGGCCTCTTCCCTTATACTACGTATATAATAACGACGAGCAGGTTACCTATCTCGTTAGAATACGCTAGGTACGTATACGATATACCGGGGCCTCGTGCCTAAGACCGAGGTAATAAGAGCTACGAGTAGTATATATTATACTATCGATCCGTACCGACTCTACGTATTAATAGAGACCTAAGTAGTATAGATTATACGTTATCTAGAAGTAACGCTACTAAGTAGAATATAAAAGAGCTCGGTCTAGAAGATTAGTACTAAGTATAGGACATCTTTTAAAGTACGAAGTATAGAGCTCTATAAGGCGTACTAGAGAGTAGACCGATAGTAGTAGAATAAAAGAAAAGCTATATATAAGATTATAATAGCTATAGTCTTATAAAGTTATCGCGAGGATCGATCTATTATAGATATTATAGGCTAGCTCGAGAGCTTTACTATTAAGCGCAATAAAGAGACGCGACCGAAAGTTTAGCTAGATTGTCGTTTTAAACGAAGAGTAGAATCGCGTTATTAGGTCTTCTTTATAATAGCGATATTAGACTCTATCGAAGAACGTAGACTATAGAGGGGACGCTATAAATGCGGCGTTAGCCCTACGTAGATACTAGCAACCTACTATATAGACGACGTATTATATAAAGGCAGCGCGTATTAATAAGTATAATAGTAATATAAGTATCGACCTTATAGGCGAAACTAAAGCGACGTAAGATCCGTTTCCTATTATATACGCTCTAATATAATATATATTCTATATCGGCAAGGCGGACCTCTACGTTAATAAACGTATAAAAACAGTCCGCAATCGTAATAGGCTTAAGAGACATTTTTATCGAAAGCACTTATAGTATTATATAGAGGATTAGCCTATTAGCTATCCTTACCTAATATGCCTTATTATAAATCTTGCGAATCTAATATATCTCTAAACCTATACTACGAGAGTTTATAATACTATTACGTAGATATTAGATATAGGATAGGAAGAGTAGAGCTTTTAAGGCTACTAACGTTACGATCTAATACGCTTACTACTCGAGTATATAAAGCTAAACTAAGCTCGTCGTATATATTTACTTCCGAGAT